CCGTTTGCCCTTCCCCTACAGTGTCCTTCGTAATAGACGGGTCCTTCTTGAAATTACGGTGCGGAGCGGGTTTCCGTTGATCAGGTTTCTTTGAAAAGCCCTCTTTCCTTTCATCCTTTTCCACGCGCACTGCCCTGCTATGCAACTTTCGGCGAGTATAATACCCCTCAGCTAACTCTGCTGCCTTGTTTAGCTGTACTTCCCCAAGTTTGTCCTGCAGCCAAAGTTTTACATCCTCCTCGATGCAGCGGTAGAATTGCTCCAATGCAACGCATTCCACCACTTTATCGCGGTCGTCATAAACACCTTCGCCCTTGAGCTATTCAAATAAATCAGCTTTAAGACGAAACGCGAAGTCAACGTGTGACTCATTCCCCTTTTTAGCATACCGGAACCTTTGCCTGAAAGCCTTGGGCGACAACTTATAACGTCTCAAGAGCACTTCCTTAACCTCGTCATAGCTCTCAAACGCTTCCCTCGACAAGCAAGTTATCGCGTCGGACACTTCGCCGGGAAGAAGAGCTAACAGGTTCTGCGCCCAAAGAGACCGCTCTAAAGCATTTCCCTCACAGACGTGTTCAAACTTGATGAGATACTTCGCCATGTCCTCGCCTACTGCGAACGGTGGCAGTTGGTCGCGAATTCTCTGACCGCTGACCTGAACTGTCGCAGAAGCTACGCGAGGCGCCTGCGAACACTGTAGGATTGCCAATTCTATTCGTTTCAACTCAAGGCGCTCCTGCCTCTCGGCCTCCTCACGGCATTCTCGCCTTTCAGCTTTTTCACGTTCGCGAACTTCTCGCCTTTCAGCTTCTTCACGTTCACGAGCTTCTACTTTTCGCCTTTCAGCCTCTTAGCGGCGTACTTTGATATCCTCCCAGGCCTCATCGACTTCCTCAGCTGAAACTCCTTCATCTCTCATGATCTCAAGGATCGCTTGCTTTCGTTTCGCACGGCCCAAAGTAATGCCGAGTTCCTCACAAATTTCTTTATTCTTTATTCAAAAAAACCTTACAGGCCCCAGAACAGGGCATTGGGTAAGGGGGGAGGAATCGGAATGGTACAGACAGGTAACGAACAGTTTACAGGCAGGATCAGTGCAAGAACAACGAAAAACTATATATATATATATATATATATATATATATATATATATATATATAATATATATATATATATAAATGAAATCACATTTTAGGCTATACAGGGCGAGGTAAATTTGAGGGAATACAGCACTTGTTGATATGAACATGGCGACAGAGGGATACATTTTAAAAATAAAAGACAAGGGGAATATAAATCACCGTTACGCAATGCACTCAGAATACTGATACGGGGTCACATGGTGAGCAGAGTGAGTAGCTGATGAGTGAGTAGCTGATTTCGATGAGTTCCTTCACTTTAAGATTCTCCATCGTCCACACTAGCCTCTTGCTGTTTGCCCCTGTTAAGAATCTACTTGCCGTACCCACTATAAGCCTACTAGCAAGACGCGCAAGCAATTTTTAACACTCCCGTGTTTACACCCTCCGCATTAACTTTGGTTTCAAAGCGCTTCGACTTGGCTTGAAACGATCAAAGCTCACTCTAATGCTTCACACAGCCCTTCTCTAAACTACTATAACCTGAGCTTGAGTAGTCTGGTGAACTGAGGGGAAAACATCAGGCACTCACCGCATCGATGTCGCTGACGCCGGCCGATCCCGCAGCTGCCAACCACTGTTGCGAAAGACGGCGCCGCCAACACGGTCCCAAAGGCACCACTGCTTCGAATTCCACCGGGAAGGTCACCAGCCGTTTGGTAGCGTAGGTTTCTCAGCTCGCGACTGCTTCTGCGCAGAGCTGATAGATGAGCGGACGAGACGACGGTGAGTTAAACAACGTTTATGTGCAGCATATATACAGAGGCGTTACAAATTCGGCACTGAGGCCGACAGAGACGCGAAGAGCCGAGCTCTTCTCTCTAACACATAGCTATACTCTCAAATGGGTCTGCTCGCGACGCGCCGCAGGGCTTCTTTTATATGCGCCGGGTGGATTCTTTGAGTAACCAAATGTCCAACCAGAAGCTCCGCTGGTCGTGAGGTCAGACTCCTCCAATGGGGTTGCCGCTGGGCCGCGTCATTCTTTCTCATCGAATCTGGAGAGGCTGCGCTGCAGGTGGCTGCACCCAAGGACGAGTGACGTCGCCAGGCATTGCGTCACCCGCCAGACAGGAAGGCGCCGATTGCTTGCTCGACGGGCTCGCTTGCTGAGGTGACTCACTGCACGTGCGGGACAGAAAGGCGCCGTCACGTGTTGACGCCGTTGAGTTGTTCATCGCGTCAGGCGGGCTCGCGTGCTGGCCTTGACACAGATTTACTTTTTTCTGAGGCATGGACGTTCGCTGCGGACTCGCAGGCATAACAGGGGCCCTCGTGGTAAGTCAAGCGTTGGCGACGCCTTTTTGGGTGTACTATTGTGTTTGTCATGTTATTGTATGTTTGTCGTGTTATTGTGTTTGTCATGGAGTGCATGGTAATATTTTGTGCAGATGTCTTAGCGGGTTAACAATTGATGTATCGATACGGCAGACGATATCGTCATTGTAAATTGGCTAAATAAATGTGTGTGGTTGTTTGGTTTGTACCGACCGCGTCTGCTGTGTCCATTCACTCCAAGAGCGTGGCGCTCGCCGATGTGAGACCCCACACTGGCTGCCCATGTGGAGCTCTTGGAGCATCAGACGGCAGTTTTCGCGGTTCAGTGCAAGCTTTAGTTAGAGCCGAGGTAGAGTAGGCCTAGAGGGACTTCTTCGCTAGCTTCGGCGGTGTGCTTTGTTGAAAAGCGAGGAGACCGGTTTGGTGACGTGTTTGAACTTGTCAGCACTCGGTTTTTTTTTTTTTTTGCTCGCAAGTGGGGTTTTTTGTTGTTTGATTGGTTTTTTTAAAGAACGTTCTTCAAATGGGACGAGAGCCATGCAGTCTGCATCCTGGGGTGAGCAAAGCTTGGAGCACGTGGATCGTAGGCTAGGCCCCAAGTGAGTGAGCATGGAAGCCTCGTGGGTGGTCCGATTTTCTGTAAATAGCTTCTTCTATCTCTTTAGGCTCAGGGAGCCGGGCGTCGTTGTTGTCTGGTATTCCGGCTCGACGCGGGGCGTCGTAACACGGTTTGGGCGGCAGACGCCGATCGCTCGGTAAGCTGCTGTGTGCGGCAAGCAATAGGGCCACCTTACAGAGTGGATGTCTCCTCGCGGCTGCCTCTTTTACACCTAGGCTGGGTGGATGCCAGTTGTTGCCAAGCGACTCATTAGGCCTAAGGCTCTGCGCAGCCGCCTGTCGCACGTAACACAACTAGGTGGATCGTGGTGTCGAGTTGTTGCACGTTACTGCGTGGTGTCGAGTGTTGCACGCCGATGTGTTAGTTAGCTAGCAGTACTCACCACCGTACCACGTGCGTGAAAAGCCCGACGCTCCCTTCTCTAGGCCCTGCTCCGTACTTTCTGTAGAGTTTTTTTTTAAATGTATTCAGCGGGAGTGATGTGATCCACGGCTGGCTGTCCTCTGCACATCGTCAGCGGCGCTGGCCAGGAATGCGGTCGGGAGGTCGTGCGATGGAGATGCCTGGGACCTGCGCAACTGCCTGCAGTCTGGTGCCCTCGTGAGTGCTGGTAGTAGCCGGAAGACGTGTCGGCGCTAGTGACGGTTCGTCGCGCCGACGGCAACGTTGCTGTTGCGGGACCGGTACTGAGGTGAAGTCGAGCTGGAGAGTGCAGCAGCGTCGACCGGCGGCAGTGTCGTGGTGCAAGGACGTTATGTAGGGACATGGGTTATCATATTTAGAGCTTGTGTAGCTATCTCTGTGTTTTTTCAGAATATAGTTTGATTTAAGGTTGGAGAAATGTGAGGGCGCTGACACCCCCTGTAAATTTGTTTGCGACACGTGGGGCACGTGTCTCGCCCAAAAGCCACATTTCGATTTACAACCACCGGGCGATAGATGGCGTTATGTTCGCGTTGAGCACCACTATTATCATCATGGTCATTAGAGTGATAGCGCCAGCAGTGACCCCTGGCGGAAGGCAAGCCTTGGTGGCAGGCGAGAGTTGAGCGACTCTCTTCCGCACGTGGTCATTGCCGCGAACGGTAGTATCTAGCGTGGGTCCTGGGCGCGCGGCCCGCGGTGCCACGCGTCGGGGGCCCTCGTGGTAAGTCAAGCATTGGTGACGCCGCCTTGCGTGTGTTATTGTGTTTATCGTGGAGTGTATGGTAATATTGTGTGCTGATGTCTTAGCGGGTTAAATACAATTGATGTATCGATTCGGCAGACAATATCGTAGTTGTAAATTAGCTAAATAAGTGTGTGTGGTTGTTTGGTTTGTACCGACCGTGTCTGCTGTGTCCGTTCACTCCAAAAGCGTGGCGCTCGACGATGCGAGATCGCACATAAGAATGGCACAAAATCACGATATCTGCACCATTAAAGAAACAAACAAAACAAAGATAACCCTCTCTTTGTTAGTGATAGTACACATAGTTGGTCACATAAAGCACGTTTCGCTCACTGAAAAGAGGTCATCATAAACACATTACTAATATTATAAATCTCTAAAACAACAGATCTGGTTTTGTACAAATGTAAGAGGAAACCAACTAAAACACACAAAAACATTTAACAATGGCATAAGGAATTGCAAAGGTGAGATAAATAATAATTTTCACCATTTATCTTCCTGTGCATGCAAAGGTCAAGTACACCATAGTGACTGCGCCATTGTAAGGATTAAACGACAGAGACACAACCCCTGTTTGTCTTGTCTCCTAGGAGATCTTGGCTCATACCCACATGGGGGATTCGCCACACTGTACCTCATAACATGTTTGTAGGGCAAGCTGACTTCCTTCTTCTCTTCCTTGCTCTAGCTACCCACGCGCCTGAGCCCCAGTGTCTTTCTTGGTCATGACGATATATGTATTTATACATGATCCAGTAGAAGCAATACCGTGAGGTAAAGAACTTACTTTTCTAACTTTTCAACTGGAGACTGGCCTCCATCGGGAAAATAAACTTTTCTCTGATGAGGAAGTGTTTTTTCTGCCGACAAAAGATCTCTCTCTCAGGAAGGCCGGTCCCGCTGTAAAAAGTTGTAAAAATTATTTTTTTTTGTTCTGCGCATCCTCTACCTCATAATATGCATGTATCTACATATATGCACAAATGAAAGAATGGGGTACCGAGGGCTTTTTTTTTTTGTTAGTCATATATTGTGGGAATCGAGAGCGCCCTCCTACCTGGCGCCTCGTTCCCAGCTGCCGCAAGCGCGTCGACGGCGTAGTCCGGGCGCGCATAAGCGCCGGCATCCGCCAAGATGGCTGCCAGGGCGCCTCTTGGTCTGGGCCAGTCAACCGTCGGCTTCTTCCCGCGCCGGCATGTCCGGGCACGCTACGCTGGTGCGCTGCGCGGGCCTACGTCACAACGCAGCGCCATTTCTTATTGGGCGCGCGTGACATCCTCCTCTCCTACCAGCTGTGTTGCGCCCGACGATTCGCTCGTCACGGCAGATGCTCTCAGGCTTTCACGAGGGGTTGACGCGCTGCTAAGCAGGCGGCTTCTCGTTCGTGCGTTCGACTTCGGCCCTTGTGCGGGAGTCGTCGCGCCCTATGCAAGCCTTTCCCCGTCAGCAGCACGGTTGACAGCTCAAATAGCCGCACCTAGTCCTTCCTACCGGGGGCACTCAGGTGTTGGCGGGAACGCGCTTACTGACCCGTCGTGGTCGAGAGCGTAAAGGGTTGGCGATGTCGTTCGCGAGCCTGCTCGCTTAACCGACAACGTCGCCGCGTTCACCGACGCTCGCTGGCCTGAGACGCGCGTGGGCGACGCTTTCGACGGACGTGGGCCACCGTGCTCCGCTGTCGACCCGTTTGCCAGTCGCGTGAGGCCTCAAGCACCAGTCGGAGCGCAAACCCTACCCTACTCCATGCCGTGTACTGGCCCTTTCCGTTGGACGCGCATGTTGGGGAACAGGCGCGCGCACCTGTTACGGCCGCGCCCGCGTCGGAGCAGCCACCGCTGCACGCAACTGCGGCGCAGCTCCTAAACGTTCTGTTGGAAGCGGTGCGCTCACAGCCTTGTGCTTTAAAGGGAGACCCTCAGTCCCCTCAGCCAAGCGTTCCGAGTAGCTCAAAGGTACCTCTGCCGGAGTACAGCGGTTATTCGGACCGCATCAGTGCCCCAGAGTACCTCGATGCGCTGCACCGCTATCAGCAGGCTACGCGGCTGAGCGACAGCGTTATGCTAGGCTCTGTTTTGCCCGTGTCGCTGACAGCCCAAGCGGCGAGGTGGTAACGGCTCGTCGGCCACCAAGCTCGCTCGATGGAGGAGTTTAGGCAACGCCGACTAAATTTAGAGGCCGAAAGGCTGCCGCAGTGACGTCAGAGGGTGGGGGCCCAGTTAAGGCACGAACACACTAGCGGCACCATGCTCTGCCGCGCGCCGCTCGCGAGACGCCGTTTTTCTCTCTTTCTCCCGCCGAGCGTCGAGGAATTTCTGCCGCCGACTCAATCGCTCCTTGCGCTATTTCTGCCGCCGCCGCCGAAGCAAAGCGCCAATCAGCGACGTGCGTGGTAGTCGGCATAGCAACGCACGGAGCTTGTTTTCCTCATTTTTTTCGGGAAGGTAGCTAGGTACGAGCACACTAGCTTCCCGCTAGTGTGCTCGTACCTTTACGCCGCGAACGCGGCGGAAAGCCTGCGTTTCGTTCACGTTTTAGGAGAACCAACGCTCCCGCTCTCACAGATGCTGCGGCTTGATTGGGCCGAATAAAAGATGTGGAAAAAAAAAAAAGTCTTACTGAACATGCTCAGTTGGGCAACTGAGCCCCCAACCTCTGATGTCACTGCGGCAGCCTTTCGGCCTTGAAATTTAGTCGGCGTTGGTTTAGGGCGCTCTTTCGTAGCGAATTCCTTCCTCCTGAATACGAGCGCCGCATGCGTCGCGAGTTAGAGCTTCGCGCACAGAATCCCGACGAATCTCTTCTCGAGTACGTTCGGGCTTTGCAGGAGCTCTACCTCCTTGCCGATCCTACGGCATCAGACGCTTAGAAGGTGGAACGAGCCATACGCCAGGCTCATCCAACCTTCGCCGCTTACCTTCGGAGCACCCGTTATCGTGACCTAAACGAGCTGACATCCGGCGCGAAGCGTATTCAGGGCGACATTCTGGCGGCACGAGCCTATCGCCCATCGCTGTCCGCGTCTCTCGAGCCTCGTTGCGCGTGGGCTGGTCGTGACTCGTCACACTGGTGCTCCCCGAACCATGAGGCGGCCTCTGCCACGAGAGACCGAGACGCGCTCGACGTGTCGCACCGCGCTCTGGACCCGTACTCGTACGCCCGGTACAACTTTGTTGCGCGCTACCGGAAAGGGAGTTCGAACGTCGTGGCTGACGCTTTGTCGCGTGCCCCCGTTTCGGCGTCCGACACTTGTGTCCGCCACCCCCGAGAGCAATCGCATCAAGTAGACCCCGGGCCCTCTTGCTCCAAAGGGTCGAAAGGCGCGAACCCCGATGGCGAACTGACTTTCGAGTCGACAGCCTCGGGTGAGGACGCATACCTGGTAGACCCTGTCACGTCCACCGGTATTGTCTTTAGCAGAGAGGAGCTGCTCAAGGCACAGCAGGACGATCCGTTTTGTCAGCACATCGTTGACGAGCTCAAAGAGCTGAGCTCCCAAGCGGAGCGGGGCGGTCAAGCCGCCGGGCGCGAACAGATAGCTGGTATTGCTGTCGGCGCCGAGTGCCGTACGCAGGCTGGTATTGCTGCGGGCACGTTGGACTCGTACCTGCTTGATGCCGACGGCGTTCTCCTGCACTACGTCCCATCTGAAGAAGCTCCCCAGGAGTCTTTCAAGGTGGTGATACCCCGCAGTCTAAAGAAAGCCACCTTAGGTTATTTCCACGACTCGCGGTTGGCCGGACACGCGAGTGGCCTTAAGACTTTTGAAAAGTTGTGCCGCTCCGCAACCTAGCCTGGCATGAAGCGCGACGCCCTTCGCTACGCCCGCTCATGCCGCGTGTGCCAATGCGTGAAGCCTCGCGGGGGCAAGCCTCCCGGGTTAATGCAGCCAATCGACAGCCAACAACCTTGGCAGGTCGCGGCCTGTGACATTATGGGACCTTTCCCGAGAAGCTGGAGAGGCCATGTTTTTCTCCTGGCTGTCACAGATCACTTCACGAAGTGGGTCGAACTGTTTCCCCTTCGGAAGTTAACGGCACGTGTAATCTGGGACAAGTTGACCGAGGTCTTTACCCGCTTTGGCTTTCCGGCGGAGTTGATCACGGACAATGCGTCACGGCCAAGGTGTTTGTGGATGCGTGTGCTGCCTTTGGCATTAAGCACCATAAAACAACCACATATCACCCACAGGCCAACCCGACCGAGCGGATCAACCGGAACCTCAAGCTCTTGCTGACAGCCTTTGCGCAGCAACACAGGGATTGGGATGCTTGTCTTAACAAGATCGGCTTCTCCTTGAGTCTACGGTCAATCGCTCGACAGGGTACACGCCCGCTTTCCTCAACTTTGGCAAAGAGCTGCCTAACCCCATGGACCGCGTCCTACGGCGCGGAGGCGGGGCAAGCGCCGCGAAGGTCAGCCCGTCTGGCTACGCGGCGGAACTGCGCTCACGGATGGACGCGGCCCTCGACCTGGCGCGTTCCAACCTGGCAAAAGCGCGAGCTGGTCAGAAGGCTCAATACCACCGGTCGCATCGGGATGTCTGTTACGATGTCGGTGATCTCGTCCTCTGGCGCAATCACGTCTTTTAGCGACGCCGCTAAAAGCATCTCGGCCTCCCTTTCGGCCAAGTGGTTGGGCCCATACCGAGTGCACACCGAAGTGTCGCCCCTGGTATACAAGCTGGCTGACTCCCAAGGGAGACCAGTCGGCGGTCCAGTTAACGTCTCCGACCTCAAACCTTTCGTTGCCCGCAGCAACGACTTCGGGGAGGGAAAGGCGGTCACCGAACCGCAGGGAAACCGGGATAAGGCTGGTTCCAAACCACGCCCCCCGTACAACTTGCGAAAACGAACTTAGGCTGAGTCTCTCCCCCTGGCATGTAGCGGGACGTTATCCCCTCCATGTAAGGGAGCGGAGATTATAGCTGCTGTGCGAGAGCCCATCCAGCAGTAACAGTAAGGGCTACCTGGCGAGCTTTCTCCCTGGTAACAGCATTACACGCGCTGCGCGTGGAATATACACCCGGTTCTCAGCGCTCCCGGCTGCTCGAGAGAGAAAAGCCCTTTCTCCGGTGGCTCACTCTCTCACTGGGTATCTTCCGCGTAGTCGGCGGGAGAAGGGAAGCGTGCGCCCTATTGGCTCACGCAACCTTCAATCTGACGGAGTAGGCTCTCTTTATTGGGCCAGCCTGTCGCACCTCCGAGGCCGCACCTTCAGTTGCGTTTCGGCTTTTCACCGACACCCCAACTTTCGTTATGTCCTCCTCGATGGCCCGTTCCTCCAAGCGAAAAAGCCCGGGAGACTAGCCGCGCGCTCGGTCGTTCCGCAGACACCGGCCGCGTCCATGCCGCCTCCGTCGAATGCTCTCCGGCCCCGGCTAACAAGACACCGCCTCGTCGTAAAGTCGCTACGTGGACGTTCCTACATGGCACTGAGGCCCCGGTCGCCTTCGTGTCGACTCGTCGCTGGTCCAAGCAACGCAAAGTCTGGGTGGGGTTAGACCCCGAGTCCGTCCCGCGTCCTTTCCGCGTACGCACCCTTTCGGACCTGCTCGACGCTTCCGGAGATGCCTCGATGCCGCCTGTTCCTGAGGCCTCCTACTGCGACGCTTGTGGTGTCCTGCTGGTGCACGAGGCTACCCACCTCCATTCGCGGGTTCACCGAGCGAAGTCTGGCGGTGCCCCTGCGGTCCTGTCCACTCCGGCGGTGCCGCCTGGCCTGGGCCTTCAACCTGCCCTGCCGACCGACTCCAATCAGGCGGTCGTGGCGGCGCTCGCCACGGACTCTTCATTCAAGTCGGCCATCGCTGCTGCGGTGTCCGCCGCCCTCCCGCGGCCCCAGGCTCCTGCTGAGACGCCACCGAACGAAGACACCGGGGCGCCTGACGATCTCGTGGACGG